GAGTACGAATCTCAGCACTGATAAGTGTCATCTCATGAGCTAATATCTCTGTACCCTTAGCTAAAGCTGCAACTGTTTCAAATATAGGTGTAGGAGAGCTTCCTTGATGTTGTGCAATTCGATTTTTAACTAAGGTTGATTGCCAAAGAGCATCGTTCGAGTTGTGAGGTGTTTGAGAAACCCAAGGATCGAGCTCTACAGAGGAGGATCTGGTAGGCGTAGGTGTTCGTAATTTGATATCTAGCTTAGAAATCACAGTTTGAGGATCAAAGGGTATTAATCCAGCTCCGCGGAATCCAGCTAATCCATTTTGAACAGTTATTGATTGTAGATATGCTGCTTTGAAGGCTATAAAGAATTCGACCTTGGTGATATGGTTGATATAAGCCTTAATATATCCCTCAATTTGTTGACCGTATGTTCGTTTTAAAACACTAAAACATCCGACATCGAGCGGTTGGGTAATATGTGAAGAATGAGGAGGTAACGAAAGAGTTATAATATTGTGTTCTTTGCAATATTCTTGAAATGCGATCGATTCGTGACTCCCATGCCCGTCTAACACTAGCATTCGATAACCACCTTGTTTTCGAGTAATAGTATGCTTGTCGAAGTGTTTGATCCACTCTAAACCTGTCTCATTGTTCGTCCATCCATTACTTGTGGTTTTGATAACCCAATCAGGTGGGAGATCACTCTCAGTATACCAACTTGAGAGGTGGTTTTTGCCCTTAACCACTAAAAATGGAGGAATACTCTCTCCCACACCATTGATACCCACAATCGCTGTAGCCCATTCTCGATTGCCTGGCTGAACTGCCTTGCCTCTACCATGTCGATCAGCTCGAGTAACTACCATACCAGCACTTATAATACCCATCATAAAGCCTGTTTCGTCGAAATTGTAGAAATCGCAATCGAGAATACCGTATTTCGCCCGCATATTCTCTACTAATCGAAACCACCCTTCAATAAGCTCAGGATCTTCGCAGAGGGCTCTTTGAAAATCATAAACGCGATTAAAACGCGTCTTTAATTCTGGCTGGCGTTGTACGAATCGATGCGCCCAGAGCTTTCCAACATGGTGTGCTCCACGAGCATCGAGAATATCGTTCGCCATATCTTCCACACCACTCACTCGAGGGGCAAATCCTCGTGCATCCATATCGAGAATATATCGAAGAATCACTTCCTCTTCCAGTTTAGTTAATTTATGGTTTGCTGGTCGACGTTCTTGTAGCGGGGTTGAACCATTGATTCGAGTTCGAAGTGTTGATTCAGGAATATTGTAAAGGTTAGCAACACTCCGACGACTTATCTTTTTGGATTTAGAAAGAGTTTCGATAGCTAAGATAATTCGGGCTTCTTGTGAAGGATTATTCATGGTTGGTTGTTGATTAATCGCGTGTTGAATTGAAAAGTAGTTGAATGGTGAAAAAGTGCGCAGGGTCCTGATATGCGCAGGGTCATGATAAACCACGTTACTCTATAATATAGTGAAAATAATAGTATTATTGATTATCTTAAGAAAGATTGAACTAATAAAGTTAAGCTCTTTATTCACTCAAGATTATCACCTTAGTAGAGAAACTACTTAACGCCTCTATCAGTTATATGCTCATATATACGTGACTCTCTTTAACCTCAACTTCCAACAATATATATATTAAAATTAGTAATCAAGATTTTATTAATAAAAGAAAGATTTGATATCTTAAATTATAATAAAAATGAGAATAGGGATATTATTATAAAAAAAATCTTTATTATTAATACAATGTTAGGAAAATATTATAGAATTGTTATAAAGAATTTGATAAAATATTTATAATCAATTATTAAACAAAAGCTTTATTTTGGTCTCTAGGGAATTTATTAAACGAATATTATAATATATATAGATATAGATTATATAAATAATAAGATTAATAAAAAAGCATTTTTAGAAAAATTATAATATTTTATAAAGAACTAATATTATAAATTGTGACGGAACAGACGGCTCTCTTCCGCCCACTGGCTCACACTACATATGTAGTATGATATGACGGCTCTTTTGGACCTTCCTTTCACAGCTTAGAGCCCTAGCTCTATAGCTCTAGACCTAGGCATCTTACGCCTAGGACCCTTTCACCCTTTTGGGCCTAGCCCTTATGGCTCCCAATACCTATATATATAGTCCTCCTTTTAGCATCCTACATAGCTCTTCACTTGTAGATTCTAAGTACACAATCGGAGTCCTGTTTATACCCTTTTGGTCACATAAATATCAAAGAAATAAAAATCAATATTAATAAATTATATAGATTTTCAGGAATATAGATATACTAGAATATATCAGGAACAATAAGATATTATAGTTATTTGGAAATAATATTAAAGCAATAATATTATCAAAAAAATCCTTAATCTCTATAAATAATTTAAGTATATCAATATTTATTATTATTATATTTATAATATAATAAAATAAAAAAGATTAAATATTATATATATTTCAATAAATAATATAATTATAAATAATTTAACGAAACTATCAGATAAAACTGCTTTTGAGAAGTTTAAAAATTAATTAGAATTAATAAAGAAAATAGAAAAAAGAAATAATTATATTATTGAATAAAGAATATATATTCTATAATTTGTTTT